TTTTTTTTTTGGTTTTTTCTCCGGTACCGGGAACCGAACTCACGACCTTGCGCTTGCCAGGGAGGCGCTTTGCCGCTGAGCTAAATCCCCAGCCCCGAGAAATGCCCTTTTGATGTTCTCTGCAGTGAATTACTGCCACCTGGGTCTGCAGCCACACTGCTTCTAGGAGGGAAAGAAACCCTCCTAGGTTAAAAATGAAGTAATCTAAAATTGGAGGACAGATTTGGTAACCTTTGTGATACATTTATGTTTATTCTGAGATTTTCCAACTCAAAAGAAATGTAGGTAAATCACTTACCTTAATTCAGCAACATCAGCTTTATCCAGTGCATTCAGAGCCCCGATTGCTTTGTCTACAGCTGGCAGCACACTTTGTAGTTCATTGGTAGTTCTCTGCAATAAAAATAGAAGCCTCCAAGTACAGATAAATGTAGCTCTACACTTACATTGTTTTATATGCTGGAGCTGGAAATATGACTTGAGATTTTTACAATGCCTACAGTTAGGCATCTTGTATGATTCGGACATATGCACATGAGTCGGGACACACTTCCTGATTCTCAAAGTCCTGTGCTGCTCTCCCCTGGGCAGAAGGTGGCTCACTGTGAAGCCAACAAAGCGTGAGCTCGGCCCCTCCCAAAGCCTGGAAGGAGCTGCCACTGGGGCTACAGGGGCACAGGACTGGTTCCTCTTTCCCCTTTTCCTCACTCTGGCTGCTTGGTGGTGCAGCGGTGGCTGTGGACACTTTCTGGATCTGGTTGAAGAGCTGAGTTGAGAATTATGCTTATACATTTATATTTTCATTGCTTAAACTTACTTTGCTGTGTGAGTTGAATTACTTTCCTATTGTAAGTCACCTGGGATAGGAAGTGCTTCCTTTTTCCACTGTCCTGCGGTCCTGGCAGTGGACAGGAAGGTACAGGGCCAATGTCATACTGTAATATGCACATGTCCCACAAATGTGTGGACAGATTTTCACTGGATGGGCCGAGAGGCTGGTCAGCAGGAAGTCTTTCTATTCATGCACAATAAAACTACAGGTGGGGGTTGGTCACCACTCAGAGTGGAAGCTGGCACTCTCCTTCACAAGTGTCCTTGATAGACATGTACCATTCTAAATCCATCCTGTCTTTTAATAATGGGGCTGTACAAAATAAAATTTACCAGAACCCCTAGGTTTGTAAGTAAACATATATACATATATTAGTTGATGAATTGCTTGATTAAAGACACAGAAGATGATGACACTCTTCTCTCTCCAATGCCTTGGAGTGTGAATGTTTTCATTTCACAGACTCCTGTGTGCAGGGAAGCATGATACATATTTGTTGGGATAAAAGGAAGAAACATCCATGGCTGGGTCACTGAGTACTACTACTTCAGTGTGGTCCTAACTTTACATTTGGAGTTAGGGAGTAACTCCAAATCTCAAATGATTTGCACTGACTACATACATGTGCATTTTACCTGAGCATAATCTTCCACCATTCTCACTTCTTCTGCCATGATTTCTTCATCCTGTTTAACAAGCATCTGAACTTTCTCCACGACTTGTGAATTTTTCTGTAGTCTTTCCATCAAGACTTCTATTTCCTAATGAGCCAAGCGATTATTTTAGAATGAATTTTGAAACATGATCTCTTTTAAAAGGAGAAATTAAAATAGCTCACTTCATTATTATATAAAATTCATCAAAATTATCCTGAAATATATTTGTTTGGTAGAGTGACTAAGGTGACTACAATGAATGTCATTTCATACCAGGTGTAGTGGTTGATTATGTCAACTTGAGAAGTTTAGGAGCTTAACCAAACTTGGCTCAGCAACTGGCTCAGCAATTCTACACCCTAGGGTGGAGAGGAGCCACCCCTAGGGTGGATCATCACCTAGATGTTATAAAAGGGAAATGAAGAAGGACAGAAGAACTTCCATTCCTTTTGGAGGAGCTCCAGTCTTCACCTTCATCTTGGACTTCATCTTCTGGATTGTAGTGCAGACTCTTTGGCTTCCGCCTTGAATCCTTCAGCCTTCCATTGCAGACTCATCGCCTCCTGGTACGGACTTGCATGGAATTCTGCAGTGAACTCCAGACCCTGGACTGATTCCTTTGGTCTTCAGTGTGCAGACACTCACTGCATGCTTCCTCATGCAACTCTTTGGCTGACCATCATAAGCCAATCTTGTAATTTCTTATACATCTGTACACCTTGTGTTATATCTGTTTCTCTAGTAAAACCCTGACTGATACACCAGGCACATAAAAAATGATTCCTAATAGATGGCAAGTGTTGTAGTTTGGGGTTTTGCAAGAGGAAAAATATAATACAGGACACATATACAAATAGAGATGCAGGAAATCTGTCCACACACTAAAGTCCAAAGAATCCAGCTGAGTGCTTAGATCCCACAGGAATGTCTTGCTTGAGTCCAACTGAAGACCTAGAGCCCATAACAATGCTTCTCATGAGTCCAGCTGGAGGCCTAGAGCTCATGACAGTATCTCATGCAAGCCTATTTCACAGATCTGTGCTGGGAAGGCCCAAAGGTCAGTGGTGGAAGCCAGAAAGTCTATGCCAGTGGGATGAAGGATCTATGCTTGCAGGCTGAGGGATCTGAACTGGAGCCAGAAAGTGACGCTCAAAGTAACAACTGGAACTCCCCTGAAAGTTATCACAGCCATCCTCAGCAACAGTGAGGTCCCGAGCTCCTCTGATGATGAGGAAAGCCAACGTGACAAGCTTCTCCAGGAGACTGAGAAGTGCACCCTCTTCTGCTCTGGAGCCAGGAAGTGATGTTCAAAGTGAGGAGCAGAGCTCCCCCAAAGTGAATCATAGCTATTCTCAGTGACAGTGAGGTCCCCAACCTCCTCCTTCGATGAGAAAGTTCCTCAGGAAAGCCAGCATGAGAAGGTCCTCCAGGAGAATAGCCCAAGAGAACCAGTAGTTCCCTAACAGCTTCCCAACAGCTTCTACCAGCTCTCTACAGCTTCTTTTCTACTTCTCCAGTTCTGCCTCTTATACTGCCAGCAACAACCCTCAGGTGGGCCTCCCACACCCAGCACCACACTGGTTCAGTTCAGCTGGGTGTTACAAGTTGACCACCAGTTGTCAGTCCACTATAGCAAGTTACCACAGCCTGTTCCAATTCAGTAGAGAATCTTTCCACAGAACAGATCATAGTTACATACCTATGATCACAGTTAACCCTTAAATTGTAACCATTATTTTCCTGGTATCATTTTTATTTGTTCCCTCCTCTTATGGATAAGAAAGGGGAGACTAAAGAAGTGAAGTGATCTCCAAGGTTTCACAATGACATAGTACTGGTGCTGGCATTCTAGCCTTTGTTAGGGGTCCGATCCTTTGCTTTCTACCACTGTTCCACAGTAGACAATGACTCTAAAAGGAATTTCAAAGCAAACAGTTTTTTACCTTTGTCTTTTGTTCTATCTGAGGGCCAAGAATCAAGAGCTCTTCTTGCATGTCACTAACTAGTTTGGTTGCTTCCAGCATTGTGGAGAGACCCAAGCAGAAACGATCCCTGAAGAAAAAAGAAAGCACGAGATCGCAACAGTTTCAGGTTCGCTATTTTTGGGAATTTTGAATACTTGCATGGACTTTTCTCGCTGAGCATCCCTAACCTGAAAATCTGAAACGCTATGAAATCTGAAGGGGCGCCGTTTTGGAGGGCTAATGGTAGCGGCTCGGGGTGGTGTTCGCTCTCTGGTTCTCGCTCCGTCGCTCGGGGCCAGGGCGTGTGTAAGGGAGGGGGAGGGCGTGTGTGCGCGGGGGAGGAGCTCCGTCCCCGGGAAGCCGCGGAGGGGAGGTGGAGGCTGCGAGGGACCCTGGGAAGCCAAGGACGTCGAGAGGCTGCAGGAGGCGCTGAAAGATTTTGAGAAAAGGGGTAAAAAAGAAGTTTGTCTTGTCCTGGATGTTTCTTCGTCATGTAGCCAAGACTGGAGAAACAATGATTCAGTGGTCCCAATTTAAAGACTACTTTAGCTGAGGATTTAGCTCAGTGGCACAGTGCCTGCCTGGCAAGCGCGAGGTTGTGAGCTGGATTCCCGGTACCGGGGGCGGGGTGCGGGGCGGGGTGGGGGGCGGGAGACAGGATTAGAGACTATTTTATATTCAAACTGGAGAAAGTAATGGATGATTTCAGAATGTCTGCTCCGGAACCAAGAGGTCCCCAAATCCTAATGTAGAATGTACCCCCTTTGATGAAATGAAGGAAAGAATACTGAAAATTGTCCCAGGATTTAATGGTATTCCTTTTGCTATTCAGCGACTATGTGAATTGCTAACAGATCCCAGGAGAAGCTATGCAGGAACAGACAAGCTCCTCAGAGGAGCAGAAAAGCATGTCACGGTTGTCAGCGGTGCTTATCCTTCTTCAGAGAAAAATAATTCCAACAGTTTACATCGAATGAACGGTGTTATGTTTCCTGGAAATTCACCAAGCTATACTGAGAGGTCTAACGTAAATGGGCCTGGAACACCCAGGCCACTTCATTGACCAAAGGTTTCTTTGTCAGCCCCCTTGACAACAAATGGTTTGCTTGAGAGTACAGAAAGAAGAGTCAGTCTTACAGCAAAATGAAGAGAAAAGTCACAGTGATTCTCTGGCACCTGAATCAGAAGTTTGTTCCGTGATCCTTATAAAAAAATAAACATCCAGATGAAGACCCTGGAATCTGAGAGGCATGAAGTAAAAAGATTCAGGTTTGACAAAGAAGGTGAAGTCAGAGAGACAGCCAGTCAGACAACCTCCAGTGAGATGGTGGAAGAAACAGAAGCTGGTGTACACAGGCAGGTATCTATGTACTTCTGCATTTGTAAAATCAATTTTCCAATAATGTAATATATCAGTTTACTTATAAAGGTACTTGGGCAGAATCTAAAGTTGCTACAATGTTTATGAAAACTGTAACTTAAGGATGAAAATGCAACTTGTAGAACCAAAGGAGATAAAAATTGTCTCTGAACAGGAGTTCCTTAAATGTGTGGATCTGGATAAAAATGAAGGTCAGTTCTTAAGATGTGTGCTAGTCATAAAGTGGATGAATGCAAAAACACCTTGTAATTTCATGTGGAATTATTAAAATTAGGTTTCCTGAGTTATTGACCTGATATGGATGCTAGTTTGTATTGGTTAGACTACATCAATTTCATATTTAAAAATGATCTATACACTTTAAGAATTTTATTTCAACTTGGAGCCTAGATTACTTTGCCAAATAAATGTATTATTTTCATAATGCAATAAGAATAAAAATCTGAAATGTTTTGAGTGTCATAAAATTTTAGATTTTAGATTGTTTAGATTTAGGGAGCTCAAGCTGTACTAAGAGATATCAGATACAATAAAATCTTAAAAATTTTATGTAATTTGGTAGTGTATAAGGAGAATTATACAACATGGCCAAGAGAGATTTCTTCCAGGGATGCAATACTCATTCAGTATTGAAAGTCAGTCAGTGTAGCCCACCATATCGACAGGCTAAAGAAGAAAAATCTCATGATTATATCAATTGATAAAGGAAAAGCATGAGATGAAACTTATAAAACTCTTACAGACCTAGAAATCAAGTTTCCTCAAGTTGATAAAGAACAGATGTCATTAAAAATAAACTGGACTTTAAGGAACACTGGAAAAGAACACCAAAGGCTTAGCTGGGAGGGGAACACACTTCAAGTGTGGGTTCTAAATGTGATAATTCCTCAGAAAGGAACCTTTGACTTAGACAGAACATCTCATTATGAGGTGAGGAAGAAGCCTAGACTGGCATCAAGAGACCCAAAGCACATCATCAACCATCCTACCTTCCACGTTCCCACTTCTCTGCTGGGAAATGCTGCAAGGACAAGCCCGGCTGTGGGACCCCTGGTGAGGATCTAGTGGTATGAGCCACTTTGGATTCATAACAGACTTTCATGTGTAGAAGGTGAGGCTCTCATGGGGTCCTGGCGGGGGGAGGTTCTGAGACAGCACGAGGTCTGTGAGGCAGAGGCTGTGTGCCAATGTGGACATGTACGGTGAGGCAGGAGGGACACTGTGGAAGGGTAAGGCGGCTGTGATGGGGTCTGCTGGGGATGAACAGCAGCAACCCTGGGGAGGAAGTGGACCAGGAGGGAGGAGCGGAGCAGGGTCCAACACTCTCTAGCTCTTATCTGCAGGGAATTGGCCAGTTTAGTCAGGCTGCTGCCCTCAGCTGCCCTCACCCTCCACTTAACTCTGAGCTCCCAAGTGGGTCGATTCTAGGAGTGGAGACCTGGACCTTCTCTACTTGGACACCATGGCCACTCACCTGCCCTGAATCTAACTAGTGTTGAGTCTGTCAGATCTTTTAAATGAAACCTTCTTAACAAAAATGTAATGAAAATACATCCTGACTCCATCAGCAAAAGCTGCTGTCAAGGCAGCTACTGCTTCTTCCATAAACATCAGGCCTGACCTCACCTGGCACACAAACAAGTAGCAATGAAAATCACTTTACCCTGGGCTTTCTGGCGGCCTGTGGAAGCCCAGGGTGTGCAAGCCCTGTTGTGTAGGAGACTGCCAAGCTGTGCTCTCCAAAGCAGTGGAGCCCCTTGCCTCTCTTTCTACCCTACTCACTGAGATATGCAGAGCTGTTTATATTGAACCAGATGTTCCCTCAATGGCCTGAAAGAATGTGATCCTGTCTGGGCGAGAATAGCCTCTGTGTTGATGCCTTGAGCCTCTGGGATTTCAGGGCTAAGACGTGAGATAACACTCAGCTGAGGCCATGGGACTCAGAAAGAATTATCCCTTCCTGGAAGTAAAGTGACAGGCTCGTACACATCAAACTTTCCATTACACTGCTAACTGGAGGCCTCTGTGCCTGGTGCAGTCAATGCCTACAAAGCTGCTCTTCCTTAAACTCTGCCTATCCTTTCTTAATACTCCCCTACCCACTTCCCTGACTGATACCAATAAAAGCCATGAGCTTTTGGACATGAGGCCTTTTGTTGCACAGAGAACATTGGGTAATCCCAGAGCTTCTTGACTGCAGAACTTCCTCTCTCTTTATTTTGTATCTATGTGCCATACTGCTAGGTAGGATAGACTGATACCCTCCGCGGGGGATTTCGGTATTATTGCTACAATTGATGGCTAACTGTTTTGAAAGAATCCTTAGCTGGATCATGACAGGTGGTCCTGCCACGGCGCCTGTGCACACCTTGTGTGGTAGGCTCACCTGCAGCTAACCTGTCCCCCCAGGACAGAGAGCATGGGGATGTTGGTGAGCAGAGGCTACAAGGCTGCTTTGCACTCATTTCCTGTCCACCTGGGGACTGTTGCTGCCTTCTGGGCTCTGACTAGGAGTGAGGGGTGGCCCCTGGGCTCAGTGGTGAGCCCTGCCGAACACAATGGAGGCTCTGGGCTCCACCCCTGGCAGCCTGTGTTCTGACCAGGGATTTCCCCTCCTTCCAGGGTCCTCCCAGTGGATACTGTCTGTGCTCTCTCTGTCCCTGTTAGTGATGAGCATCTGACTGACCCCTGACCCCTTGCCTCACTGGAGCACACTTGGATGCACTGGGAAAACACCCGCACCTTTGTGAAGGTCCTACACAGAAAAGGCAGATTCAGGCTCATCTCTTCCCACAAATAAGAACCACTGATATAAAACATGGGTTTCTGGCTTGGTCTCACAGTCTCACCTCCTCCTGTGCATCTCTGCCTCCTGGGACCTTAAAAGGTGTGCAAATGTTTCCATGAACTGTAAGTAGCTGCTAGGCGTGACATAATAATGACTTCCGGTTTCTTTAAAGTAGCTTGTTGCCAAGTCTTCTATGCTTTTGTGGATCTGGACACATGTCTGAGCAAATTTTTCTCTTAAATTCTAAAGAATAGCAATTTTTCAGGAATTAAAAGAAAGCAATCTGAATATGCATTAAAAAAAGAAAAGCAAACACTGTGAACAACTTGAAATAATGGATCACTCCTGAGATGCTGGTTGTAGAGAAAGGTCCCAAACGAAAGACTGGCATTTTCCTGCGAGCCACACACCAGTCCCCACAAACATGAGTGTTAGTGGATGGGACCACCGTGAGGTGGAGAGGTGACTCTTGGGCTAGTGACTGTGGCACCTGGGATGCATTATCCTGGCTTCACCCTCATGCCAGAGACAGCACCCAGTACAGAGGGCTCCGAATCAACAGCTGAGGCCTTCACCTCTCATTTCCTGTGTTCAAGCAGTCATCAGTGGCAGGACACTCTCGGAAATCTGCTCGAGTAGAATAAAGCTACAAATGTGTAAGAACCTGAGGGATGAGGAGGCGGGCAAGGCCAGAGCCTTTTCCTTTGCTGATACTGGAAAGAATTCATAACCAAATCCTGGCTGCCCATCTCCCATCCAGCAAGCCTCGTTGAGCACCAGTCGCTCTGAATACAGCTCCATTTTCTTTTTGGTCCATGGACTCCGGCTGTCTTGAGCTGAAGAAAAGTCAGGGTGCAGCCCCTTGCCCCAAGGCCTTTGTGGTTTCTTATGTCAGACAGGTCCTGTGGGATTAGCTTTACCCACAGGACAGACCTTCTTTGTGGCTCACACACCCTGAGCTCATTTTCTTTGTAGTTTTGTGCAGCAGCTGAGCCGATGCCCTCCGTTAGCACACATAGTGGTGCCCACCCCTCCTCATGAGCCTGCTGTGCACAGGGAGGCCACTTTCCTTCGTGGAAGTCTGCAGTTCACCATGGGGCAGAGTACTGACAACCCAGGCAGCACAGACTCCGGGCATCTCTGAGATGCAGCGGACACTGACAGAAAAGACGGGGTGGAACCTAAATAAGCAACAGGCCTGTTCTGGATTTGGCTCATAGCTTCTGTTTGTGCCCACCAAGAGCTCACTGCTGTCTGGGTGGCATCGATAAGCAGAGACCTCAATCTCATCAGCGACTTACCTCTCTCTTCTCTGGATTCACCTTTTCCCTTAAGAAAGAATTGGCTACCATGAGGAGCGCATCCTCTGGCCACTTCTGGTACCAATCTATCGTGCAGGAACTGATCATGGCAGGGTACACTCTACAGTTCTGGCGCAGGTTAGGCCCCACAGGACTCATGATTATAAAAATATGGAGGTTTTTATTTATTCTCTGAAAAAGAATAGAAATATAAAATGTTAAAATGTAACCTACTGCTTAAAAATACATTGGAAATTCCATTTAAGACTTGTTTCCATTCTTTCCTTTATGGGTGGAGATTGATCAATGGTGGTTGGAGCATCTGCTTTCTGAGGGAAACCAGAGTCCCAGTTTCTGCTTGACCTGGCCCACTCCATGGCATCGGCTTCGAGACTACAGGGAGATGCTCTTAGGAAGGGGTCAGTGCTACAGTTCATTCACTGGGTCTGGGTACTTAGCAATTTTTACAGGGACCAGACAGAAAATGGCCAGCTGCCTCAGAGCTGAAAGACACAGAAAGCAAGGAGTGGAGGGAGTGGTAGAGCACCCTGTGGAAGAACTCTACCACTCAGGGACCCCAGCAGCAGCAGCAGATACCTGCTGTGCTCAAGGCCCTGGGCCGCCATCTGGTCCCCATGTCCTCAGGAGACCTGGCTGTGTGAAGCCACATGACAGGCAGCTCAGTGGTCAGTGCTCCTCTTAACCCAGAGTCCCACTTGTATAAAGTGGCAATATCATGTAACCTATTTGCCAAGTAAGTACGGTGAAGTCCAAAGAAGCCTGAAGGGTAAGATTTTCTTTGATTTCCTCCTTTTGGTCTTTAAAAAATTTATAAAGAAAATAAACTCAATGGGAAATTCATATAATACAGAAACATTTAAAGCAAAAATGAAAGTGCCTTTTTGTTTTACCCATTCTTAACTCCTGCCTGGACACAGCCAGTGTTAACAGTGAAAGTGGCCTTTATTATTTACCATTATTGTAAGATGCAGCAAATCACTTTTGGAAGTAGGGTGAGATATTTATAAGACTGAATTAATCTTTAACTGGGATTCTTAGGTTTGATTTCTGGAGTACCTTAGCCTACACACTTGAAATGACAATTTCTTCATTCTTTCTTACTGCTCATAATTAATTCAATAAACTAATTATGGTAACTAGGCACTAGAGTGCCATGGATTATCAGGACAACTACTATCCTTCCTTCTACTACGTCTAAGTATCCATTCATACTGCATTTGCTTTCTATCAACTGTGGCTCTATATGGATTTATTTATTTTTATGTCTTCTCCTTGTGATGGATACTAAGTACTTGGGAGGTCAGGTTCAATTTTCAAATAACCCTAACATAGACACAAAATGGCACCAGAAATGAGTGACTCTGTGGTCCTCCCCCAGGATCTTGGGGCTGGGCCTTGCTGTACCTCTCCTGCAGACATCCATCATATCTGAGGGGCACAAAGGCTCAGGTCACTGGGCCAGTCTAGGTCTCTCATTAGACCCTGGTGGCTGAGTTCATTCCAAGGACTATCTACTTTCTTTGGCTATTTTTTTTCATATTTATCACTTTTGGGTCAGTCCTAGGGCTATTTGAAGGGATGAGAGACTTTTTTTTTTTTTTGAGATAGAGTCTCATTATGCAGTCCAGGCTGGCTTTGAACTCATTATGTAGCCCAGGCTGGCCTTGAACTCCCTGCAATTCTCTTGCCTCAGCATCCTGAGTGCTGGGATTACAGGCATGTGCCACCACACCCGGCATAAGAATTCTTATTTCATGCCTTTCCTGACTTGTTACCAACATAGCTGAAGTGAAAATCTCATTAACGAGGAAGGAATCTTGGAAATTTCCCATTTTATTTCCAATAGCTGTTACTACTTTTTAAAAAAGCTACTAATAGCCTGCACTTGGGGTACAGTGTGTTTGTATGCAGAGATGGATGATGTTAGCTTTAAAAACTCATTTAAAGAAATAAAGAAGTCATATGCAGTCTGAAAATCATGAACCAAATTATAAAAGTTTGTGTTTGATTTAACATGATAGTTTGATAAAGGCAACCCACAAAAACCATACCTTTTGGAAGAATGAAAGTAAAGACTTTTTGTCATCTGTATAACCAGACTGTAGAGCCAAAGATCGAATCCTCACTATAATAGAACCCAGATCTTCATCTTCAAACAAGTGAGGTATTTTCCCCAAACTGACGATGTAGTTCAAATCTTCCAAAAATGATCTCTTAGGTCAAACATATATTTAATTGGGAATGAGTAAATTATTTATATATTATATTGTAAACAAATTGAGAAAGTATTTAAGGGGAACTGAGGCTTTTTTTTAAAAAGCTAACTTCTTAAATCAAGCCTGTGAAAATATTTCAGTCAAAGCAAGCCCCATTCTTCCATTCATTCAAATATCAGAGAAACATATACTTGGCACTGACAGTATGCCAAGCCCTCATTATCCCTGGGGAGGAGGGGTAAGGATTGTAGGACAGCTCTCTCTCCTTCTCTCCCTCTCTCTCTTTCCCTGTCCCTCTCCCCTCCCTCCCTCTCTCTGTCCCTCTCTCTCAGAGCAGACAAACTAAAAATAATGTAGTGGGGGGTTATTTTAACTTAACCAGGTTCACCTGTATATAGGGTTCCTAATCCAATGGGGAAGATAATAAAGAGAAAAAGCAGGGAAAGGAACTCTGCTAGAATAGTAAAGTGAACATTTCACTTCTGAGAGTAAATTTAAGTTTTCTTAAAAAAGAAAGCCAATCCTCTTCAGGGCTCCCCTCAGACACTCAGAAGTGTGGAGTATTTCAGATTAGGTGAGAGGTGACCAGGAGCTGATTTCCTGTCCCACATATGACATTTTGAGAACTGCCCAAGTTTATTCAGCCCCCTGATCATTACACATGGAAAGCAATGCGTGGCCAGAAGAACTCTGAAAGGTCTGGAAAACAGACCCAGTGACCTTCAAATCCAGAGTCATACAGGAGAAGGGGAGTCATGTTCATTTCAGCTTTGGCCTGACATGGTTTTCTGAAAGTTTTTTTTTATTGAATTAGAACAGTGGGCTCCTAGCAGGGGAGAAACCTCTTCTTTTGAAACCCAGAAAGAAAATGTGTGGCAGAAACCTCAACTATTTCAACACAGCAGATGTTAAAATATGGGGAAGGGAGGCTAGAAAGCAGAAGAACTGGGTTTTTGGTGTAAGTGTTAATCCTGCTATGCCAACTTCATTGGGTGGATGAGAAAATGCCTAGCACACTTCTGGGTATATCTGGGTGGTCATGGAGGCGTGGCCTGGGGACTACATCTGGTCTATTGCTTTCTGACACAGCTGTCCTGGTTTGCTTTCCAGAACCATGAACTAAGTAGCTTTGCTTCACCATGCCCTCCTGTCATGATATTCCTGCCTTGGAGCCAGCCAACCATGGATGAATCCTCCAAACCATGAGCTAGGCTAGACTTCTTCTCCTTTGGGTTGTGTGGAGATTGTGTCCAGCAACAGAAAACCTGACTAATACACCATGATATACAGCAGATATAATATGGCCCTTGGATTTCCTCTCAAAATATTACATGAAAGGAAAAAAAGTAACTCTATATAGATAAGCCCAGCAGCAGTAGAAATTTAAAAAACAAAATGAGGGTTTAAAAACAATATTCATAGGGGCTGGGGATTTAGCTCAGTGGCAAAGCGCCTGCCTGGCAAGCGCAAGGTCGTGAGTTCGGTTCCCGGTACTGGAGAAAAACCAAAAAAAAAAAAAAGAGTTTGTCTTACATCTCAGAGGAGACTTGGGACTTGGACTTTTCAGCAATGCTGAAATTGTTAGGACTTTGGCTACTCTTGCAGATGGAC